GAATAGCTAGGATTACAGGAGTGAGCCACTGGTGCCCAGCTCTATAGGACTTTTATGTCCAATGAACTATCAAAAAGCCAGAAGTGGAGCGGCGGCTCAAGTAGTAGAGTGCTAGCCTTGAGTGAAAAAGCTCAGGGACAGCACCAAGGCCCTGAGTTCAAGTCCCTGGACTAGCCCCCACCAAAAAACAATGGGGCAAAGAGTTTCTGCTGAGCCCAGGGCTGTAGAGGAGCCCCGGAGTAAACCAGAACTTAAGGGGTGAACAATAGCGCCCCGCACATGAGGGAGAGTCAGCTATGGGCAGGAACTCCAGTTTCCTATCCATTTTGGTGTGAGTCTGTGTTCTGCCTCCCCTCCAAGAAGCAACCTGGCCACGACCTGGTGCCGCAACCCGCCCACGGCCAACACTGCCGGTCTGGACTGCTGGATCTCAGCTCTGCTATTTCCCGGCTGTATGACTCTGAGTAAGTTGCTTCATGTCTCTGACTCTCAGTGAGGATCCCCAGAAATGGAGGTGATGAGAGGCAGTGCTGGCAGAGCCCTGTCTAGGATGGCCCAGGGGGGGGGGGGGCGGGAGCCGACTCTGGCTCCCAGCCTCTCCCCGCCCCCCCCCACGTCCCCACCCCACCTGGGCCCAGGCTGACTGATGTCTGCTCACAGATGGAAGGAACAGCCAGAGGCCACCCAAACCCCAGATGTGGATCGAGGGCCCAGAGCCTGTGGGGATTCGGAGTCTGGGGCGCAGGGGCTCCCCTGCCATCAGCCTCCCGCACCTGGCCAGACCTACCTCAGGCTTGGGGGGAATGAGGGACAACAACCCGCGGAAGAAGTTCGTGGTGGAGATCTGAAAGCTGGCGTTGAAGGCGTTGAGCTCGTGCAGGCTGGCCGAGCTGCTCGGGGGGCAGATATCCACGGTCCCGGGGAAGGGCGATACGGTGATGGTGGAGGGGCAGTCAGAGAACGGCAGGTTGTTGCTCAGAGCCCCGTCAATGTAGCGCTAGAATGGAGGAGGGTGGGTGGGCGGGCTGCCGTGCCCCCTTCCACCCGCCCCATGGCACTGGCTGCCCAGGCAGACCCTCTGGGGAACTCCACTCTGCAGCCAGGCCCTGCAATGCAGGGTGCGGGGCGTCCCGGCCGAGAAGGGCACCCAGCACCCTGCGGAGGGGCCCTGGGGCCTGTGGGCAGCGGTGCTCACAGAGCAGGGCCTCCCCCCACCCCCAGCTCTGGAGACACATGCGTGCTGCAGGGCTGCCAGGGGTCAAGGCCAGGCTTGGGCGCGGAGGGCCACACACTCACCTCCCCTCTGAACTCAGGGGGAATCATCCCGCAGTAGAACGGGAAGTACAGCGTGCAGATCAAGGCCTAGGAGACAGGTGGGAGGACTCCTGTGTAGGTGCTCGGCCGGCTCTGGGCACAGTGCTGTTGTCCTGCCAGGGTCCTGAGCAGGAAGAAGCAAACCCAGCTCCCTCACCCCCCTACCTCTGCTGAGAGTACTTTGCTGCCCCCCACTACTCATCTCACTAAACAGAGGGCATTGGTGCTCACGCCTGGAATCCCAGCTATTCAGGAGGCTAAGATCTGAAGATTGTGGCTCAAAGCCAGTCTAGGCAGGAAAGTCCATGAGACTCTTATCTCCAATGAACCACCAAAAAGCTGGAAGCAGAACTGTGGCCCAAACTGGTAAGAGTGCTAGGCTTGAGTGAAAAAGCTCAGGGACAGTGCCCAGACCCTGAGTTGAAGCCCCAGGACTGGCACCACACACACATACAAAAGACACACAGAGGCACTGAGCATTTCAACTACTGGGCTGGCTTCTGTGCTAAGAATCCAGGCCTGTCTCCCAAAGGCAGTTCTCTGGCACCCATCTTAACCCCAACAAATCACCTCTCCTCTACCCACTGGGAAATGGCATCTGCTCGCTGCAGTAAAGGCACCAACAAGTCCTGCTGTTAAAAGCCGTGAAATAAGACTCTGATTTGCGTGACACCTGGGGCTGGGTATTGTTGGGGGGCAGAGGACAATCCTGTGTACTGTGGGGTGTTTAATCACACGCCTTACCTAGATGCACACACGCATGCACATGCATGCACGCATGTATTCACTGCATGCACACACGTATGCACATGCATGCACGCATGTATTCACTGCATGCATGCACGTATGCACATACATGTGCACACACATGCACACTCACGTGCAGGCTCTGCCTCAGAGCCAATGGAGCAGGCAAGGCCACCCCCAGACAGCGCAGCTGCCCAGTGAGCCCGCCCTGTACCAGGCAGGCAAGGACGCTGCGACAGACTTGGTGGCTCCAGCCACCCCTCTGTCAGAGGCACCCAGGTCAAGCTGGCTCTGTCTTGGGGACCCTGGTGTGGGTGGCAGTAAAGACCAGGAGAGGGTGGGTGAGAAGAGCTGTGACTGCGCCTGGCCATGCACGCACGCGCATGCGCGCACACGTGCACACACACACACACACACACACACACACACACACACACACACACACACACACACCAGCCTCCACGCCAGGACCCTTTCTTTCCCTTGGGCCCCATCCACCTGGGACAGAGGCAGGGACCTACATTTTCTTTCTTGATGGGGCTAAGCCTGAACCCAGGGTCTTGGGCTGCCCTTTGAGCAGCCCCCACCCCCGCCCTGGCTCTCTTGTTTGTAGTTGGCTGGCTTTTCTGGCAGGAGTTTGGTCAGCTTGCCCGGGTTGGCTTGGGAACGGAGGCCCCTGCTTCACCCCGTGCTCAGCAGAAGGTCTTTTTGTTTTTGTTTTTATCTGTTCCAGTGCCTACCACAGTCACAGGACCTAAAATCTGACCAGCATGTGATAGTTGCTCAGTAAATGTCCAGCCGCTGAGCCACATGCTCAGGAGTCTGGGCTGAAGGGGAGAGGGTGGATTCTTTGGAAAGCAGCCCTGGAGAGAGGTGACTGCCGTGGCCCTCCCCGGCCCGCCCTGTGCCCCAGGGGCTCCTCTGAGGGCCTTGCCGCCAGTCTCCTGTGTGAACAGACTCTAGGGGCTCCGGTCCCTGGCTCGGCACTGGCCAGGCCCCCAGGCAAGGTGGCACTGGCATGGGGTGGGGGTGACCCCACGCCCTGCAACCCCTCCGCACCCCGCAACCCACACCTTCTCACCTGGATGAGCTCCTCCCGCGTGGCGAAGTCGGTGACGATGACGTTCTGGCCGTCGGGCCAGCGGGTTATGGAGATGCCCAGGCGCCGGGAGGCCAGGATGTGGCTGTCGCTGGGCAGGTGGTCCTGCAGCTGCTGCTGGATGTGCTCGATGGGCGCATAGGCCGGGTGGAGGATGCCCAGGCTCAGGCGCTCCACCTGCTTCACCACGCCCAGCAGGTTCGAGCAGCAGAAGTCTGCAGGGGCAGCGGGCAGGGGGCATCCTCAGCTGCCCGGGACCCTCCTGCCTCTCTTCTTCCTTTCCTCCCTTCCCTCCCTCCCTTCCTCCTTCCCTCATTCTCTCTCCTCTTCTCCCTGCCCCCCTGCCATGCCCAATCCTGGGCATAGAAAGCCTGGGTTCAAATTCTAAATCTTTGCCCCTAAGGGCCCCTGGGAACAAAGTCCCAGCCTGAGCCCTCGGAGAGCCCCTGTCTGCACAAAGGGAGGCCACGCTCCCCAGGCCACACGGAGTGAGCCTGGGGCCAGGCTGGCTGCCGGAATCTTAGGGTATGGTGCCAGGAGCCAGCGCCTTCTGAGCATACAAGGCCCTTCCCATTAAGAATCAGTATTGGCTGGTGCCTGCTGCGCACGCCTGTAATCCCAGCTACTGAGCTCTAAGGATCATGGTTCAAAGCCAGCCAGGGCAGGAAAGTCCCCGAGGCCCTTATCTCGGATCAACTACCAAAAAGCCAGAAGTAGAGCTGTGGCTCAAGTGGTAGTATGCCAGTCTTGAGCAAAAACAAAATGCTCAGGCACACAGCCCAGGCCCTGAGTTCCAGACCCAGGACTGGTCATGGTAAAATAAACGATTGGGCCTTCCTCCCCATACCCTCCCCCATCTCCACACCCTGGTACTACCAGACTCACCCACAGACTTGCCACAGATGATGCTGAGCGCGTTGAGTGCCCCAGAGGAGGAGCCGTAGATGCGGCGGGCACCCTGGAGGAGGTGCGGTGCGCGCTGGCTCAGGCAGTAGGTCACCCCCACATGGTAGAGGCCCAGGAAGCCGGCGCCGGAGAAGGACAGGTTCCAGCTGTCCTCCTCCTCCAGGCAGCTCCAGAGGTGGTCCTCCCTCTCCTCCAGGTGGCTCATGGCAGGGGGCTGGGAGGAGGCAGAGGCGCCCTGGTGGGGAAGGGGCAGCACATGCAGGTTGCAGTTGCTGGGGCCCCGCCCCCTGGGCTGGAGTCAGCTCCAGCCCAAGCCAATGAGGTTCTGGGCCACCATTACCCCCAGCCAGGCGCACCCAGCCAAGCCCCCTGAGGGCACTGGGCCTGCTCCACGCACACCTACCACTTGGCCAGCCCCGGGTGGCCTGGCACCGAGCCTCACCTGACCTCTGGTTACCTCAGCTGCCGCTGTGTCCCCATCACCTTGCAAAACAGGAAACCAGTGGCACCGAAAGAGGCATCTGGATCCATGGCCCGGACCTCACTGCCTGGGGTTGTGCAGCTGTGCTGCTCCCGGTAGGCCTGGCATCCGGCCTCCACCCACGGCCTGCACACGCATGCACACGCACACGCTGGCATGAGCCACCAACGCCTGTTCTCTTGGTGGCAGGACTGGGATTTAAACTCGGAGCCTCACACTGGCTGGGCTGGCACTCAGCCACTGTGGAGCCGCACTTCCAGTCCAGGTTTTTGCTGGTTATTTTGCTGATGGAAGACGTCTGCCTAGGCTGGCTTCAAACCTTGATCCTCAGATCTCAGCCTCCTGGGTAGCTAGGATTACCGGTGGAAGCCACCACATCCAGAAAGGATTTGTGAGGACTTCCGTTTGGTGGCCTGCATTTTGGGGCTCACTCAGGCCAGTAGAAACTGAGACCAATATGGGGGACTGACATCCGGCTGCGGGTTCCAGGACAGACTGGGGTGTCTGATTTTGGCCTTGCGAGGGGGGAAGCCACAAATTGGACAGGAAAGGAAGATGTTTCTGGTAGAATCTGGGGGCCGTGGGTCCCGAGCTGTGGTTTGGGGTGCACAGGCTCCCGGGAAGCCAACCTTAGCAGCACCTTTTCCGCTTATCTGGCTGCGCTGAGCAATGAACTCAGATGTGAGTTGTGGAGCCCAGAGAGGGGGCTGGGCTGGCAGGCAGGGAAGGCTGCCTGGGAGGGGTTTGGATGCCCACTCTATCACCAGGGCACTGCTTGTGTGTTTGGGCATGTGTGTTTGTGCCTCCGTGAGTGTGTGTGTGTGTGTGTGTGTGTGTGTGTGTGTGTGGTGTGCTTGCACCCTCGTTTGGCTTTTTCACTCAAGCAAACACTCCACCACTTGAGCTACAACTCCACGTCCAGCTTTTTGATGATTAATAGAGGCTAAGAGTCTCACAGACTTTTCTGTCCAGGCTGGCTTTGAACTGCAATGCTCAGCCCTCAGCTTCCTGAGTGGCTTAGATGACAGGCCTGAGCCCTCAATGATTGGTTAGGTGGTTCTTTTTTTAAAAAATAATAATTATTATTCTTACCTTTAAGCAATTGTACAAAGGAGTTGCCACTCAGCAAAGCAGTTTAGGAATACAGTGTGTCTTGGTGGATATCACCCTCCACCTTCTCACCCACCCCTCCCTACCAACACACTCCTTCCCTTACTTTTCTTAATTTTTTAGAATATGTCCTGAATTTATTTTATTTTATTTTTGTCGGTTGTGGGGCTTGAACTCTGGGCCTGGGCACTGTCCCTCAGCTCTTCAGCTCAAGGCAAGCGCTCTACCACTTGAGCCACAGCGTCCTTTCCAGTTTTCTAGTGGTTAGTTGGAGATAAGAGTCTCATGGACTTTCCTGCCTGGGTTGGCTTTGAACTGCAATCTTCAGATCTCAGCCTCCTGAATAGCTAGGATTACAGGAGTGAGCCACTGGTGCCTGCCAACCATTTTATTATATGTATCCTATAAGAGAATACATTTTTGTCTTATTATATGTATCCCATAATGGAATAACATTTATCAAATTAAACCAAAAAGAATAGCCAGGCACCGGTGGCTCACACCTATAATCCTAGCTACTCAGGAGGCTGAGATCTGAGGATCAAGTTCTAAGCCAGCTTAGGCAGGAAAGTCTGAAATTCTTATTTCCAATTAACCAACAAAAAGCCAGAAGTAGAACTGTGTCTCAAGTGACAGAGCACAAGCCTTGAGTAAAAAAACTAAGGAAGGGACTGGGAAGATGGCTCAGTGGGAGAGTGCTTGCCTCACATGCATGAGGCTCTGAGTTCAATTCCTCAGCACCACATACACAGAAAAAGCTGAAAGTGATGTGGATGAAGTGGTAGAGTGCTAGCCTTGAGCTGAAGAGCTGAGGGACAGCGCCCAGACCTAGAGTTCAAGCCCCACGACCAAAAAAAAAAACCACAAACAAAAAACAAAACAAAACAAACCCTAAGGAAGAGTACCCAGGCCATAAATTCAAGCACCATTACCAGCACACAAACACACATAATATAATACATTAGCCATTTTCCCTCCCTCCCTCCCTTTTTTTTTCTTTTTGCCAGTCCTGGGGCTTGAACTCAGGGCCTGGACAGTGACCCTGAGCTGCTTTTGCTCAAGGCTGGCACTCTACCACTTGAGCCACAGTGCCACTTCCAGCTTTTTCTGTGGATGTGGTGCTGAGGAATTGAACCCAGGGCCTCATGCATGCTAGGCCAGCACTCTACCACTGAGCCACCTTCCCAGCCCGCCTCACGCCCTCTTTCCTTTTTCCTTTCTTTTCCTCCTCCTTTCCTTTCCCCCTCAGAGGCTGGGCCAAACTCACACAGTGACCCCAGCTCTCTCCTCCACTTCCACTGCCTCTTTCCCTCTCCTAGGGTACCCACTGGCCACCCTGAACTCCGAGACCCATGGCTGGGTGCCTGGACCATGCTGGAACAAGCTCCCAGACTAGATGCCAGGCTCTGCGCCATTAGGAACATGGGCAGCTAGCTCCCTGGGCAGGTTGGAATAGGTTCAGCTGATGCTGGTGCAGCCCTGCACCCTCCCAGGGCTGCCCAGGCCCCTCCCCCTGGAGCCTGGGAACCAACCCTTGCCCTGTGTCTCAGTCCAAATTGTCTCCTGACCCCTGTGGTCAGTCTCCCCTCACACCCGCCAGATCTGCAGGTGGCCAGCGCCAGTCTGATGACAGGACACGGGCCAGCCCCACCTGCCTCTGCTCCAGGGTGGTGGGGGGGTTGGCTCATGAAAGGCAGAGTGCCAGAAGGTGAGAGGTGCTCTGGTCACCGTGCCAAGGAACCTGCCAGCCATGGCATGGTCTGGCGGCCCAGAGAGCAGGAAGAAAAAGCCTGCAGGAAAGGAGGTGACAGCTAAGGAGGAACTGGGGCCTCTACCTACCTACCTACACACACACATACACATACACACACACACACACGGACCCGTCACCCATCTGGCCAGACATCTGAGAGTTGCCCTTGACTCTGACATATATATATATATATATATATATATATATATATATATATATATATATAGTGTGTATGTGTGTGTGAGTGTGTATGAATTCTCAGCTGGTTACTGGTGGCTCACACCTATCATCCTAGCTGTTCAGGAGGCTGAGAGCTGAGGATCAGCATTTGAAACCAGCCCCTGCAGAAAAGTCCATGTGACTCTTATCTCCAATTCACCAGCTCAAGTGCCAGGTACAGTGCCAACCTTGAAGAAGGATAAAAAAGACATCTCGGGGACAGCACCCAAGTCCTGAGTTCAAGCCCCAGCACTGGCAAAAATAAAATAGTGAATTGTGAGGAAAGGGCCAGAGGCGCTGACCACCGGCATGCGGGAGGCCGCTGGCCCCGGCTCCCCGCCCGCCCGCCTCTGCAGAGCCCTGTGATGACCGCCCATCACGGGGCTATTTCTGGAGGCAGTGCCCAGTGGGGAACTCTGAGCCAGCAGCCTTGCGTAACCCAGTGCCCTTTCTTTGGGAGCAGCTATTTGTGTCCTGGGGCCCGGGGATGGGGGGCTGCTGTCGGCCATGCCCACTCACTCAGCCTGACCGGAGATCTGCCTGGCAGCGCCGGCCGCTTCTCTGTCCCCCATCTGTTGTCCATCCCAGCTGCAGCTGGGGCTTCTGGCCCCTTTCCCTATACCTGTTTTCTTTCAATTTGTCACTATCAGGGCTTGAACTCAAGGCCTGGATGCTGCTTTTCAGCTATTTTTTTTTTTTTTTTTGGTCAAGGCTGTGGTGCTCTACCACTTGAGCCACAGTTCCACTTCTGGCTTTTCTCTGAATCTCTTGGATTTGTCCACCAGAGCTGGCTTTGACCCACCATCCTCAGATCTCAGTCTCCTGAGAAGCTGGGATCACAGGCGTGAGCCACCAGCGCCAAAAGCAGCTTCTAAGTGGCCTCTGACGATACGGTTTCCCTTTGTGTGCTGACTGGTGTCCTTCTCCGACCGCCCGTGGTCCGGGCCCCGCTGAGCAGCAACACAGCTGGGTGTTGGTTGGCCCCCAGGGTGGGAGGTGGGTTTGGTGTCTGGCTGGCTGACCTGCACTTCTCCCCAGAGGTCTGTGCTCTGAGCTTCCCATCCCCAGACAGGATCTGGGCGCTGCACTTTAACAAGCAACCCCCTTGTCCAGGCATGGTAGAGCAAGACTGTGGTCCCAGCTCTTGGGAGGATCTGGCGGTAGAGGCCAGCCTGGATCATACAGTGCGAGCAAGGCCAGCCCTGACTCCCCATGAGGGTCACTGACCCTGTACGACTCACCTCAGCCTCCACCCCGCGCGCACCTGAGCTGACAGTGCACCTTGCTGAGCTCAGGCCCCAGCCCGGCCTGCACTCCAGCCTCCCCCATCCGGTCTGGTGATCTCCTTCCACGGCCAAGCCCTTCCTCACACCCACTGGCATCCCCAGCGGCTGCTCTCCACCCTCACCTGTCCCCGGAGTCTCTCCCCTACTCTCTCAGGTTCTGTGCCTGGTTGGGTTCCCTGGCCGGGGCCTGGGAATTAACCATGAAGGGAGACAGATTAACTAGAGAAAAGTCAAGGCTTAGCAGCATATGTACTGGGGAGGCACTCGGAAATCAATACTCTTGGGTAAAGGCCAGTAGACCGGGTAAACAACCCCAGGCAGAAGCGGAGAAGAAGATAAAAAGGACAGAGCGGGAGGCAGTTTGGGCCTCCAAAAAACCAGAAAAAAGCCAGGCATCAGTGGCTCACACCTGTCATCCTAGCTACTCAGGAGGCTGAGATCTGAGGATCACAGTTTGAAGTCAGCCCAGCCAGGAAAGTCCATGAGACTCTTATCCCCAGTAAACCACTAGAAAAACCGGAAGTGGCGCTGTGGCTCAGGTGGTAGAGCGCTTGCCTTGAGCTGAACAGCCCAGGGACAGCGCCCAGGCCCAGAGTTCAAGACCCACGACCAAAAAAAAAAAAAAAACCAACCAGAAACAAACTAAAAAATTGTCAAAAAGCAGAAACAGAAAGTTTCTATGAAGTAGGGAAAGTCAAATAAAATCTCAAATGTTTTCACTTTCTATTTTTTGTATTTATTTCTATTTTTTGTAAAGGTCAAATAAGATTTCACGTCCCTTCCTTCCTTTGGTCTTTCCCTCCTTTCTTCCTTCCCTCCCTCCCTCCATTTTTTGTGCTAATAGTGGTATGGAAACACATGGCCTTAACTTTCCACTGGAGGCTGGCGCTTTACCATTTGAGCCACACCTCCACTCCTATTTTTCCTTGGGTTAATCACCGATACGGGTCTCTCAGATTTGTCAGCCAGGGCCCACAACAACCACAGTCCTCAGCTCTCAGCCCTCTGAGTAGCTAGGCGTGACCGCTGGTGGCAAGTTTGGCCACACCTTCATGTTATAAAGTATTAAACAGTATCCATCCGGCCAGGATAGACCGCCTAGAACCACTGCCCAGTGAGTGGGGGTAACTGGGGGTGGGGGTTTCATGTCCACAGGCCCTGGGTTCTGTCCCTGGCACCAAAACAAACACAAAATTATGTACTTAAAGGGATTTGATGTGACCCCCAAGTCTTCAAATAAGCAGGCATAAGTAATACGTGGAGACCTCCAGTAGTCACCAGACATTAAACACCGATCACAGGAGGCCAGAGCACGCACTTCCACCTGCTCAAGTGTGGCTGGCCTAAAACAGATTAAGTAAGAAGGAAGACATTCAGAGTGATTAATAGGCAAAGGGGGAAAAATCCAGAAAGGATTTAGTGAAGAGACTCCGATGGGAACAGTGGCCTGGAGATGATTTTTGGAACATCTTGTGACTTACCTTGTGGCCAGCTGCCATGTTGACTGAGTGACCTTCAGGCAATCCACAGGCACTCAGCTGTGCAGGTGAGCAAATCCCCGCCCACCATGACACTCGTGGTTTGACTTCCAGGCTTACCAACGCCTCTGCACACGTGGGAAGGGTTTATGACTCCACAAGAGCCCAAGTCTAAAGGCATCAGGGCAGTAGCTCAGGTCGAGCCTGCCCAATTCCCTCCCAGAGCATGCCTATCCTATTCACACTAAACCCCTGCTTCTAACTCTGAATTCTTTCTCTGATGAGACAAGATCTTTTGGGAGTCCTCCATCGGTAACAAGAGGACAAAAGCCACAGGACAGTAATTGCACCCTAATCCAACACAATCAAGATGCGTATCCCCCCCTTGTGTGTGTGTGTGTGTGTGTGGTGTGTCTTTGTTTTATATCCACCCTCTTTTTTGTTGTGCTGGTCCTGGGGTTGAAGTCAGGGCCTGGACATTGTACCCGAGCTTTTGTGCTGAAGGCTGGTGCCTTATCTCTTTGAGCCACAGTGCCATTTCTGGCTTTTTGGTAGTTAATTAGAGATAAGAATCTCATGATCTTTCCTTCCCAGGCTGGTGTTGGAGCATGATCCTCAGATTTCAGCCTCCTGAGTAGCTAGGATGACAGGCGTGAGTCACTGGCACCTAGCTAGTCAACTTTTTTTTAAAGCAAAACATAGGCATAGAAAACTTACAATGACCGAAGACAAAGTCTGTTGGCCCAGAGAGGGTGAGGTGACACACACCACTTATAATCCCAGCACTCAGGAAGCTGAGGGAGGAGAGGATCTCACATGCAAGGCCAGCCTGGACAACATCCTGAGACCGTGTCTAAAAAGCCACAACAAAAAGACACCTAAGTCGGCTGGCTCAGAGAAGAATCAGCGAACTGTCACCCGATTCCCCCAGGGACGAAAATTGAGGACAAGGTGCACAAGATTTTCCAGGGGCTGGCTTCCTGAAAGCTGAGCCTTGTCTGCTCGGTTTGCTTCTTGTTGGCAGGATCTGGTTGGTGACAAAGGGATTTTTCAGAGGCCCATAGCTGGGGGGGAAGCGGGGGGAAGAGTGAAGGCAGAGGTCCCTGGTCAAAGCCAGTCTTTGGAGTCCTCCTTTGATCTCCAACAGACCAGGCTAAACCAATCACACAGTCTCTGGGCCTGGTTTCCAGGTCACTGGGCTGAAGGTCAGCTGCTTGTGGCACCCTGCATATCTGACCCACAAGGCCCAGTGACAGCCACATGATTGAGAGGACCCTCCTACCTGAGTCCCGTCACCGAGGGCAGCCGATCTATGAGCCTGTCTCCTCACCTTACCAAGGAAGGGACTTTTTGGGAGGCCAGTCCTAGGGCTTGAACTCAGGGCCTGAGGGCCTGGCTCCTGTCCCTGAGCTTTTTTTTTTTCTCCTCAAGGCTAGCACTCTACTGCTTGAGTCATAGCTCCACTTCCAGCTTTTTGGTGGAGATAAAGATTTCACAGACTTTCCTGCCCCAGCTGGCTTCAAACAGCAATCCTCAGATCTCAGCCTCCTGAGTAGCTAGGATTATAGGTGTGAGCTACCAGTGCCTGCTGAGAAAAATTTTCTTTTCTCTGTCCCTCCATTCCTTCCTTTCTCCCCTTTGTTCCTCTTTCTTTTTCTCATTCTTGTTGGTGGTGGTGGTAGTCGTGGGGCTTGAACTCTGGGCCTGGGCTCTTCAGCTCAAGACAAGTGCTCTACCACTTGAGCCACAGCACCACTTCCAGTTTTCTGGTGGTTAATTGGAGTTAAGAGTCTTATAGACTTTCCTGCCCAGGCTGGCTTTGAACTGTGATCCTCAGATCTCAGCCTCCTGAGTAGCTAGGATTACAGGCGTGAGCCACTAGCACCCAGCTTCTCGTTCTTTGTTTCCTTTCCATGCAGAATTTTACTGTATAGCCCAAACTAGCCTCAAACTCGTGATCCTCATGCTTCAGCCTCCCAGATCCTTAAATTACAGCTTCTCACCCATCTCACCCAGCTGGTAAGTAATTTTTAAATTATTATTGGTTTACAATTGCTATACAGAGGGGGATTTCACGGTGTAATCTCTCTTTTTTTCTTTCCTTCCTTCCTTCTTTCCTTCCTTCCTTCCTTCTTTCCTTCTTTCCTTCTTTCCTTCTTTCTTTCTTTCTTTCTTTCTTTCTTTCTTTCTTTCTTTCTTTCTTTCTTTCTTTCTTTTTTGTCGGTTGTGGGGGCTGAACTCTGGGCCTGGATGCGTCCCTCAGCTCTTCAGCTCAAGGCTAGTGCTCTAGCGCTTGAGCCACAGCGCCACTTCTGGCCTTGTCGGTTTATGTGGTGCTGAGGAATTGAACCCAGGGCCTCCATGCATGCAAGGCAAGCATCTACCACTGTGCGACCTTCCCATCCCTCACTGTGAAATTTCTACACATATTTACCATGTGTCCCAATCAGTCTCATGGCAAGTACATTTTATTCTGGCAAAGTATTTACTTCCAAACATTTTTTTTCTGTGCTGAGGCTAATACATTTAAGAGTATAACCCTTTTTCCTTTGGATTACCCACAAACTTTTAAACATCAGCCAGGCACTGGTGACACATGCCTGTCATCCTTGAGCCACACTACAGTCCAGTTTTTTGCTAGTTAACTGGAAATAGAGTATCTCAAGCTTTTCTGCCCAGGCTGGCTTTAGAACTTGTATCCTCCAGATCTAAGCCTCCTGAGTAGCTAGGATTACAGGTGAGCCACCAGTGCCTGGCATCTACTAGGCTTTGTTTTAAAAGAAGGGGTAAGATGAAATGAAGAAAATCTTCATCCTGAATTTTCAACATTCACAAAACGGAACTTTTTTTTTTTTTTATTGTCGATCATGGGGCCTAAACTCTAGGCCTGGGCACTGTCTCTCAGCTCTTCAACTCAAGGCTAGCACTTTACCACTTAAGCCACAGCGCTACTTCCGGCCTTTTGTGCTTATGTGGTGCTAAGGACTCGAACCCAGGGCCTCATGCATGCAAGGCAAGCACTCTACCACTGAGCCACCTTCCCAGCCCAAGCAGAATTTTTTTTTGCCAGTCCTGAGACTTGAACTCAGGGCCTGGCCTGGGCACTGTCCCTAAGCCTTTCTGTGCTCAAGGCTAGCAATCTACTACTTGAGCCACAGTGCCATTTCTGGCCTTTTCTGTGTATGTGGCATGCTAGGCAAGTATTCCACCACTAAGCCACCTTCCCAGGCACAAAACAGAATATTTAAAGTTTAAGGTGCTGCTTCAATCACCTTGTATCTACTCCAGTTAGCTTCTACCATGAAGCCTGCCAGGACTGCGTTTCACTCGGTCTCAACCGGGAGGATGGCGCTGCTCTGGACACCTCTCAGACTCGGGTATGATCCCTACACGTGGGGAGCTTCTGCTTTCTCCGGCCTCTTTGTGCCTGCTGACGCACCCTCTTCCACTTGGCTCCTCCAGACACTCCCTCTCCTATTTTGTGGATATAAGTGTTGCCCAACTCCAGAGCTGAAAATAAACCCAAGTATGATTGCTAAACAGGGTTGTGGTAATGTTGTCCTTTGTACCATCTGTGGTGCCTGTGAGGACAGAGCCATGGGTGCCGTGACCCGCCAGATGATAGGAACCAAGCCACAAGCACTCCTGTCCACTGGGTGTGGGAACCAAGCCATGAGCACCCCAACCCACTGTGCTATGGGAACGGAGCCATGAGCAACCTGATCCCTTGGACTGTGGGAACCAAGCTACAAAGCACCCCAATCCATTGGGCGGTGGGAACTGAGCCACGAGCACCCTGGTGTACTGGAGCGTCGCTCACATTTGTGTTGGAAGGAAATGCTGGCTTTCAGGTAGGGGTGGTGAATGCAATGATGCCATTTTCTCCACAAACCTCACGGACCTGCCTGACTCTGTCCTCTGAATCCTGGACAGAAGGCCACGCCATGCCAGGCTTGTGATTCCAGCTCTTCAGGAGGCTGAGATCTGAGGATTGTAGTTAGAAGCCAGAGTGAGCAGAAAAGTCAGTGAGGCTCTGATCTCCAATTAACCACCAAAAAGCTGGAAGTGACACTGTGGCTCAAGTGGTAGAGTGCTAGCCTTGAGCAGAAAAACTCAGGGGCAGTGTCCAGATCCTGAGTTCAAGCCCCAAGACCAGCACCAAAACAAACAAACCATACTGTTCTTTCCATAAAACCTCAAGGGCTTCCCTTTGCTGCCAGAAAAGTCTAGAACCATTGGCTGTCTCTCTCAGTTTCTCTGTGCAAGCTCCCTCCATCTTCCCTCCCCACCTCCCTCTCTCTCTCTCTCTCTCCCCCTCCCTCTCCCTCTCTCTCTCTGTCACTGTCCTTCAGCTCTGGCCCTGTCGGGTGCAAGCACCTGTGCTTTAGGGAAGGGAGCCGCACCCCTTCAAATGACTGCTAATGCTCCTTGAAGTTGGTTTTGGGGGCTGAGGATGTTGTTTGCCAGTGCAGTGCATTCACAGGCCCTGGGTTCAATCCCAGCACCAAACAACAACAATAAAACACAGTTCTTTTGTTTCAGACAAGGCCCTCCTTCACAACTTACAAGGAGCCAGCCAAAATCATTGCACCTCTCCGGGTCACCATTTCAAAACCAACTTTTCTCCTTGTAATACTAAATTCCCACCCCCAGCAGCCTCGGCAGCCGCTTCTGAGCCTGTGACAGGTGACCTTGCACTGAGCATGCTCAGGAACGTCCTGGCTGGGACGTGAAGATGAGCAGCCTCAATAAAGCGCGCTGGTGGGCGGGAGTATGGCTCAGGGGTGATGCAGAGTCTGCCGAGCTTGCGGGAGGCTCTGGGCTCATGCCATTTCCCAGTTCTGCCAAGGAGACAGAGGAAAAGTCCCCTGGGCTGGGCAGCTCACACCTGTAATGCCAGCAACTCGGTTGAGATCTGAGCATGTTGTTCAAAGCCAGCCCAGGCAGCCCAGAAAACTCTTCACCTCCAACTAACCACCCAAAAGCCAGAAGTGGAACTGGGACTCAAGTGATAGAGCACC